CCAAAATAATGTTCCCATCAGCCAAAAGAAAAAATTTACTTTTTATAAGAAACAAGGATTCTATTCTTTCTTTAAAAGGAAACAAACTTGTATGTTTTAAAGACTTTTTTAAAGCAGTCTTAGGTTCACAGCAAAATTAAGATGAAGGTACAGATTTCTCGTATACCCCATAGTGCACACACACAGCCTCCCGCTCTGTCAGACTTCCCACCAAATGGTACATTTGTCACAACTGGTGGACCCACAGTGACCCATCACCATCACCCAGATTCCGTTTTTTACATTACGGTTCACTCCTGGTGCTGGACATTCTATGAGTTTGAAAAAATAAACACGTACTCACCGTGATAGTATCATACAGGGTCTTTCAGAGATCCCACAAATCCTTTGTGCTCTACCTAAAAACTTGTATTTGTTGGCATCTCCAGTCTGTCATATTTCACGTAAAACAATGCATAACCATATTACACTTGGTTTATGTCAGTTTGGCAATTCTTTCCTTCCAAGTCTTATTATTAATTAAAATAAGACAGAGATAGTACATACAGATTTACTTAACACTAACAATAAATCACTTTTTATGCTTTAATTTACTCAACAGTCACGTGAAAGGACGTTATTCATCTCTACAATCCAGGTGAATAAGTCCATAGACACATGCACAGACGTGCGTATAGAAGGGGTTGCTCAGGGTTCACTTTACCGTCTCCCTCTGGGCGTCAGGGCCATCTCTGTCCAGCTTGGGGTCAGAAGAGGGACCCTGAATCAGGAAAGGGAAAGGGGCTATCTCCCCAGCCCTCCCCCTCACTATTTTAATGCTAATTTAAATTACAACAGCACCTGCTGCCCGATTTAAATGGTTCTGCTTCGTCTTGAAATGTGTTTTTGTACTGATAAAACTTAGCATTAGGGACAATTGATTAAGTACCTTGCTCTTTGAAGAAGACCCTTTGTTGATAAGCACACGGCTAGCCTGAGTGGTGGGAACAGTGTGTTTAAAATGTACTTATACAAATGAAAAGATTTGCACAAAGCCTGTTCATGATAGAGGGCCGGGACGTTAATTTGCCTTGAATATATGAATAAATGAGGAATTAATGAACAAATGGAAGCACAGAAAAGGAGAGATATGGAAGAGTCATGTAGGGAATTAATATTTAAATATGTTTTTAATTGTTCCCAGAAGATAAACATATTGGAATAAGCTCACCCCAGGATGTATTTTATAGATATTGTTTTACATTTCTTTTACAAAGGTTGAGAAACAAGTCTTCTCTATATTTTTAGAAGCACTATTTTTAGAAGATTTAGAAGTGTTTAAACAGAGGGTAGTGTTTTATAGGGGTTTTAATGCACTTAACAATACAAAAGGAAGCTCATGAGGAGGACTTACTCAGATCAACTGTTTTACAGCAGTGAGATGCTGAAAATTGGTAAAATATATATATATTTTATATATATTTTTATATTACATATATATGTAATTATATATATGTAATATATATTATATATATATAATATGTAATATATATATATATTACAAAATGCCAAGAATATATTTTTAAAACTGCACGGAAGTCCACACTGAGCAGCATCTCTTTCTCATGGCCTGAGAGTCTGTTTGGAGGTTGAAGAAGTAAATGATTTCATCTCTTATCATTAAGAAATCTTTACTTGTAAATGTTAAATTCTATAATTATTCTGCATTTCTCAAGTTGTCTCCAATGGGTTTTAAATTTTTTAAAGTCCAGAACTGTGTCCTTTTTTTTTCCTTCCTATTTTGTCTACTAAGGAATCTATGTCTGTAACAGGTTTCGAAATTACTCTGTTTATCCGAATACCCCCTTGTAGACATTAATATGCTTTTTTGAAGCTAGAACTTTGTCCATCTCCTCTTTGTTTCACTTCCTAGCACTGTGGCCTGGACAGAGTAGGCATTCGGTGAATCCCAGGAGACTGAGCCACTTGTTGCCCTCTACCCCACTCCTCTGCTCGTACTCTCTATCTCTTGCTTTCTCTCTCAGATAAATAAAATCTTAAAACACACACACACACACACACACACTTTGGCTACTGACTTCTGAGCCACTTTGGTCCCCGAATCACTCACAATCCCAAATATATGTCAGAATCATTCATACTCCCAGTAGCCACGATATGAAAACAGCCTGTGTCCATCGACAGATGAATGGATAAAGCAAATGTGTATTTGTGGGTATAAACGCATGCACACAGGAGCATTATTCAGCCTTAAAGCAGCACATCCTTCCATTCGTAACAGTCATCGACAAACCGGGAAGACGTCATGCTCAGTGAGATAGATACGTAAAGAAAACAGCATTTTATCTCATTTTCCTGTGGAATCTAAAGAACTCAGACGTGGTAGCAGTGAGCGGAGCAGTGGAGACCAGGGGCCAGGGAGCGGGGGGACGGGGGGATGTGGGCCGAGGGGTATGGAGTCGTGGTTCTGTAGGTGAGTGAGCGGAGAGCTCGAACAGTGGGCAGCAGGGCGCGTGCAGTCAATACCGTTGTGTTGAGAGAGGGAAGTTGGCTGACAGTAGAGCTTCCCAGCACACTCCGACAACTATTTGCAGAGATCAGCTAGCTCGATGGCTGTAATCATTTCACTATGTATATGTGAACCATCATGACGTACACCTTACCTATATCTCATTGTAATTAAAAATGCATTTATTTTGGGGCGCCTGGGTGGCCCAGTCAATTAAGCATCTGCCTTTGGCGCAGGTCATGATCCTCAGGGTCCTAGGATCGAGCCTCATGCTCCCCGCTTAGTGGGGCCTCTGCTTCTCCCCCTGCTTCCGCTGCTCTGTCTGCCGCACTTGTTCTCTCCCTCCCTCTCTCTGTGTTCTCTCTCAAATAAGTAAAATCTTTTTAAAGATGCATAAACTCAGCATTATTTTTCACTTGCATCTCTGTCCATCCCTGATTTGTAATGAAGCTTGTCATCATTTCTCAATGTGTATTTCTGTTTTAATACCAAGTAGGATATTTCCAGAATGCCATGCTGACACCCTACAGGTTGTCTGCCCAAGACTGGGTATGCATTTTCCCTTTTTTATGGAGCATTAATAGCATGGCATACACATCATCCTGTAACAACAGGCTCTGGCTGATTGTTGAGCCTAAAATGGACAAAAGCCTCTCTCATACCCTTTGCCTTGGCATGGAAGAATCACAAAATGGCCATTTTTACGCCCCTAATGAAAGCACAGTTATGGAGGGAGCCCCCCGTGTATGCCTCATTACAGTTGTCCAGCCATGGTCTTCAGCCATGAGTGGGTCATGACGGCCCCGCTGCAGGGTGCTCCACAGGCGGGGCCCTGTACCGGTGTCAGGAGGGGATGGGGGTGAACCCGCCGCTCTCGATGACAATCCTTCAGCTCTTTTATTCTCTTCTTTTTGGACCACAGTCATTTATAAATAGACCCATGAGAAAGAAAAAGAGAAAGAAAAAAAAAAAAAGGAAACACAATAAAACCATGCTTGGGTCCCAGGCTTCACATGCAGTATCGATCCTGGTTTGCAACAGCCACCAACCTCTACAGCTGTTTCGAAGCGGATTGCTACAATAATGTATTCACACAAACACTGCAATTTGAAAGAGTAGACTTGTAAAAATAAATTATAATGACTTACACTAATTTTAGTAGGAATTTCAAGTAGAAAAATTAATGTATTCCGTATTAGCATTGCTCGGAAGAACACCTGGTTAGGCCTGCTCGGGACCACACGCATTACAGTGGGCGTTGGTCCCGCCTTCCTTCTGGTGCCATGTACCCTTTCCTCTCAGTCTAACAAATGGGCATTTGATACTTTTTTACAAGATTCCGAAGTCTCAGATCTACTCTGAAATAGATATCATCAAAATGTATTTCCCGTGTTATGGTTTCTGTTCTTCATGTGCCTGTCTTCTGCCTCTGATTCGGCCTCTCGTGTTTCTATCTTTTCTGTCTTCTTGTCTATCCATCTACCTACCTGTGATTTATGTTTATGCATTGATTATCTATCTCACTTTCTTCTATTATCTCAGTCATCTCTCACCTATCTCCTTATCTTTCTATTGGTTGATCAATAAATTGATCTATCTCTGTATCTCTCATCAAACTTTTATCTGCATCTGTCTCTTATCTGTCTCTCTACCTATTACTTCTACATATCTATCATCTATCAATGACCTTCATCCCTTGTCTCTATCTATCATCTGTCTAACTCCCCATTCCTTATTCTCTTTGTTGCTCAGGATTCTAGCCTAATTTCATGACGTCTCTTCCTCCTTGATCACAATATTGGTCAGAGAAGAAAGCATTTCTTCTAGATACATCTATATGGACGTATCAGACATCAACTGGTCCTATCTGGTTGGTGTGGTGTCAATCACCACAACAGTGTTCTCTATAAAAATAAAACTTCAAGGCTTTGCAAAGTTAAATGGAGAGGAAAACTTTCTAGCCTAGGGAGATCTTCTTAATATGTTAATATGGCTAATTAAATAAAATCTGCATATGACACTCTAAAAATACTTATTTCAGAGTGTTTGGGTGTCCTCAAATATATATTAAAATAAATATTAAAAGAATTAACATATGAGATATACTAAAAAAAGAATTAATGGACAATTCTTTTGCTTATATTAAGTTATCTCTGGGTCCTTCTAACCACTATAGAAGGTAAAATAAAAATTTATACACATTTGACTTAACGCATTATATGAGCTAATTTCACTTTTACAGCTGATAATCAGTATCTTTAGAGTGATAGCCATTTTGAACTCTTTAAAATTCTGTAACTGAGGGTTCTCAAACGTATACAATTATCCATACACTTACTTTTAAAAGCAGCTTGAAAAAAAAAAGCAGCTTGAGGTTGTTTGAAATATAATGGAATTAAAGAGCAAAACTTTATAATACAGCTGGATATTTGTATATTTAAAGTCATAGAAAGTTCCTTTGAATCTAAATAAAGATCTTTGCTTTATTTAGGTCATCAAGCTTGCGTTTGAGGAGTTTGAACTGGAACGAGGCTATGACACCCTTACGGTGGGCGATGCTGGCAAAGTGGGTGACACCAGGACGGTCTTGTACGTGTAAGTATGGAGCAAGAGTCTCTTCTCCAGTGTGTGCGCCCGCTGTGCCAGTGTGCACGGATACTCGCTAAGCTAGGGGCGTCCAAATCTGATTTCACAGGACAACTAATTGAGGATTGCATTTCATCTGTTTTAGCCCCCCCACCCCCCAAATCATGAAAAAATATGGCAAAAGTTAGACTGTACGGAAGAGTAGAACGTAGAAACGGTCGTTTCTCGAGCAACCCCTCCTTCTTAGCCCTCTCTTTCTACTTCCCCGTGGCATTACATTATCAGTGTTTTTGCAATGTATTTTGCAATGTATTTCCATGATGTATTTTTTATAATAGTTCTGTAGGTCTTGCAAAAGCCCTTGCAGCCTGCAGGACGGCGCGCTGAAGCTTACAGAGGCCTTGGGTAATAGCACTGGGGTAGCTGGCTGCGTATCCGTGGCAGTCAGTGGCAGGAGTCCTGAAAAAGATGCAATCATGGCCTTGATGATCAAAGTCAGCCCAAGAATCCCTGCCCTGCCACTTGCAAGAGGAGGCACCGTGTGGCCTCCGACCTGTGTCCCGGATGCCTTTATCTGCTCCCTGATGTCAGGCGTGGAGGGCACGTCTGTCCCCTTCTGAGGCCCCTGCTGTCCAAATTGAAAACATGATCTGAGAAAATCATTCCCCATCCAGGTTTCAGCAAGAGGGACATGTCTCAGCAGCAGCTTTTCCACCAGCTTGAGCTCCTGGCCTCACTGGCTCCCATTCATGGAGTGGCTCCCACGACTACCTTTTGTTTGTTTGTTTTTTAGTTTACTAATACGGTGCTCAGGTTTGCTTTTTATTTGTGGGGGATCTCGCCCCTGTTACTGTTGCAGGGTGACAGGCTTCTTGGCTCGCAGAGTTGAAGAATGAATTGCATGGACACAAAAGGGTGAAGGGGAAGGAACGGTTATCAAGTGGAAGTGAGAACAGAAGGGAAGACAGGAAGCTCTCGAGTCCGTGGGGTCCGAGTGGCGGCCACTGAGGGCTTTATGATGGCTCTTTAATAGGAAACTGACTAGGGAACTTCCTAAATGTCTCATCTGTAACATTTAGGACGGACAAGGTGGATTTGCAGCTGTCATGTAAACGTCTTGTCCATAGTTCGGACAAACAAGGTGACTGTTAGGTTCCCTCCTCTCTGGGGAATATCTCGTCTAGCACATCTCTCCGGCCAGGGGACTTTTGTGAGCCTGGCCCCATAGCCCTCGGTGTGAGGCTCCTCAGGGGAATCAGGCCCCTCTTTCTCCCTGCCTGTACCTTAATCCCTTCCTTACTAGGTACCTTCAACATCCTATTCTGCTAGAGGGAAATGACACTGGCTGTTATACTCACTTGCTGTGTATCTACCAGTTGCTTAGGAGGTGATCCACAGTTAGGAAAAGTGCTGGAGAGGAACATGGGGTCGGTGCCTTTAAGAAACGAGTGGGACCGTATTCTGACTCCATCGTGACGTACTCTTGTCCTGTATTATATATGGGACATTTTTCCCTACCAGTACGTGTCTCGATCTCGTCTTCCTATGGATCAGTTACTACTGTTACTGATAATTATAATCATATTACTGGCCCACGATTTATGATAATAATTATAATAAAAGCATTAGTAATAGCATACTAATATTCATTGAATATCTCATATATCATGTGCTGTGCTAAATGCCTAATAGGTATTATCTCGTTTGGTCCTTACCTCAATCCTGTACGGTAGGGACCTTATATATGAAACAACTAGGACGTAAGGAGATGAACAGATTTACTCCAACCTGCAAACCTCGTGTACATTGATGTGTATATACTGGTATACGCTGGATATACGTAGGTATTTAAATCCAGTCATTCTTCTCCAGTGTCTGCTTCTTATTTTTACATATGGATATGGCACGTGTTTCAAGGGATTCCCATTGATTGTCTTATGCCTTCCTCCGCCTACCTCACCCTTTCCATTTGTAAAGAGTGACGCAGTGAACGACTTGGTACAAACACCTCACCACACTTGCTTTGTATGTCTTTGGGAAAATTTGCAGCAGGTGAATTTCAGGGGTCAGGGGTGACTTCATTTACATTGCTACTTTTTTCTAACAATCCCCCTAAAAGTTTCTATCCAGTCCATTCTGTCGCAGTATATGGAGGTCTCTGCTCCCCCAGCCTCACCACATATTCTTTTTTTGCCAAATTATTAGATGAAAATCCCATCTGTTTATAAGAATACAGATGTCCGCAGGGTGGGGCCCAGACGCATGAATAGTTCGTAAACTGACCCTGTGATTGCACGCCCACAGCCCGGCTCCAGTCCGCAGTGGGGTTCGAAGCACTGGCGGAGTGCTCGGGGACGGGGCCAGAAAGCCAGAGATGGAATTTCTGGCTCTCGCTCTGCTATTAACTACCTCTGCGACCCTGAGGGAAGTCACTTTACCTCTCTGTACCTCTGTTTTCATGCCTATAAAATACGTATAATAAACTTTCCCTGCCCGTGGCAAGGAGCAAAATGAAAGAATGCACGTAAAAGTGTTGCAGAGCTAAGAAATGTAGCCCACAAGTGAAGTAGCTTTATTATTTCCATAACAGCTAATTTAAGAAGGGGTGTCACTAGAGCAAATGAGAGAAAATTTTAAATAAATGCAAAGCACAAAATATAAACCAAGCAAAGTCATGCCATGTAAAATCCCTTAGGTCATTATTAAAGATCTAAAGTCAGGCACCCATTTTTTAATGCAATTTGTTGTTAAGAGAGCAACAGCAAACTATGTATTACGTTGACATAAGTGTTATTAGAACATCCTCTCGATAGCTCAAATCTATAAATGAAAAACCAAATAGCCAACTGAATCAAACTGAGATGCCCTTTGGGAGACATAATGTAGCAAAGATCAGCTGGGCATTTAATCAGCGGCAGAGAGAAAAGGGAAGCCACTGATCTATTTCCTTAGTATATAAAATTACAGGAAAAGAATGAAAATAGAATCACAGCTGGTGTCTTCAAAAAATCAGGTACTTTTGGAGAAAAACGTCAACACGTATTTTTGAGGATGTATATGCTAGACTTTATTCTCAGCATGGAGGTAAAAATCTAATTGGAGAGATGGCAGATACACGGGGTAGTTTTGTACCAGACAGGGTATAAAATCATTGGATCTCATGATGCAAATTTCAAATAAAATACCAGCCAAGAAACGTCTTTATGCAAGACTGGTATTTACAACCTCAGGCTCACTATGTTATTACAGGGTTTTTTTTTGGGGGGTGGTGGTGGAACAGGAGTAATTCTAGTCTTGGATTTTCAGGAAAAGTGTAGAGAGTGAGCTAGCCTAACCAGCTCATCCTAAATGTGGTTTTCAATTTTCCAATTCTTGTTAATGGCCTTTCAGTTTCTTAACATTCTTGACACAAAAAGAGAGCAACTGAATTTAGGAGACCCCTTTAATAGTCTAATCTTCCCAAGAGATGAATGGATTTACTCAGGTTATTTTTACAGAGGGACAGGCTTAAAATTAAGTAACTTGCTTAACGAATCTCTGTTGAGATCTCTCCAAGAATATATATTGATAACTGTCTTGAATTTAATTTGCAGAAGAATTGCATCCGGAGTTCCCTCTGGCCTTTTCGGTTATTAGCGATCGGTGGCCAGGAGATTGGTTTAATTTCAGGTTATAGGTTTTAAATGTCTGTGCCTCTGTGGGGATGCATAGCCAACCTCGGGGAAGTCCACGAGCAGGTCGCCCGCCTCCGCCCAGCCACACTTGTGGATTGAGTCCAAGGGGACTCCTTGTTACTTAGGGTCAGTTAATCTATTTATTTCTGAAGCTGCTCCATGTTTCTAGAAGCTGCCCGAGCCCTTGTAGGACTGTGGCCACATGCCCCTGCTGTTGCTGGCAAGTCCTGAGCTGAAGGGCATCATTCTCTTTTCATTACAAGCCCATGGAACAGCCACAGAGCAGCAAACACTAAAAACATGTTTCCGTGTTTATGTGTCTTTGACTTTATCAGAGGAGCCCATCCACATACCTCGCAGCGCTTTGGAGAAAAGCTTGAGCACTTTATGTTAGGGACCCGTACATACAGATAGCCACTTAAGGCTTTCCTGATAAAAACCCATGTTTTCATGATCAGCAATCAAGTCCACTCCGGAGGCTCTTGGAAGTCTGGCATCACGTGATCATGACCCTTTTCCTTCGAATCCTCGTTCTCCCGAGGGCATTGCCTCTGTGCAGGGTGCATCTGAGAGCGCAGATCAGACCCCACTACAACACCTCCTTCGCTAGGGCTTTATCCATCTTGGCCTTCCTGTCTCTGCCCGTTGATCTAGGAGCTTTCTTACCTGATTCTTTAAGGGAATATTTATTGCAATTCAGACGTTGTAGTAGGATTCAGGAAGGGCTTCGGGGGAATGGTCAGTAAGTCTACGCAGCCTTCATTATGATCCCTGGAGAGGGTGAGCAGAGCAGGACTCTGTCTCCATTCCCTACAGTGTCCAGATTCTCTATCCTAATAATCCCATCAGAGGGGAAATAGAGAGACTGCTGAACATCATTGTTTTAAGTTTGGGATACCAGCTGTTTCCAAGGTGTCTGGGAAGGCAGACCGACCCAGGACCTTGGGGACCCTCGGCGAAGCTGTCTTTGGGTGCAGTCTTTCTCTAGAGGACAAGCCATAGGTCCCAAAGGAAACATAGCTCACCTGCAGCACCTGCTGGAGGTCGAGTGGGGTGAATTCCAGCCGGGTTGGGGCCCCAACAACCTGAACCATTTTCCAAATGTGCTGCTCATTATTATATCAGCAGTATTGACTCACTGTGGCTGCTTTCTCTAAGAAACCAAGAAATGCATGTCTCCCTTACACACTATTAACCCGAAGAGCTAAGGGTCTCTTTTCCGTGAATCATCAGTCAAAAGCATTTCACGTTTATAATGTGGGTTTTTGACATTAAATTAACTCAGAGGCGAAGTTATTCTCCTCTGGGGGGTATAGGGCACTTAAAACAATACAG